TCTCTCTCTCTCTCATTGGTTTCTGTGTAGACTGGCTCTGGAGACGTTCACAGAAGCTCTAGGAGATGGGGGACATAAACTATGTCACCAAAAATTCAGATTAGTAAAATCAACAGATACTCCAAGGCAGCCTGGAGTAGTGGAGAGAGCTCAGATCTCAACACCAGCATTTACTGGTTTAATCTTTGAACAACTTAACCTTTTGAAGCCCCACATGGGATGACTGCACACTTGGAAAGGTTTTTATGAAAATTAAAAATAATATAGGTGAAGTCTCTGGAATATAATTGGCACTTAATAAATAATAGACATTATTAAAAAGTATAAAAAACAATGTAAGTAAAACATGATTCCTAACCTCAAGTGGGTTTATAAGCATTAAGGATATGATACCTTAAATTTAAACATATGACTAAAATATCTCTGGTAATGTTTTCCTGAAAACGGAAAATTTTCAGAAGTGAAAAAAGAGAAAATCTCTCTGCAAGTTCTGGGAAAGGGAGGCGATGTGCTTGGAGATACATGAAAGGCTGCAAAATTTACCTCCTAAAACAAACATACTACAATGATTTGCATTTTTATTAGGGCAACAGATTTTCACCCAATTGTTCTCAGGCCAATTAAATATTAGATCAGTGATCATACAAGGCATAGGACCTGAGCTGCTCCACAGAAAACAGAAAGATTTAGACAGGCAAAGGGAGAGGAAAGCATTCCGAAAGAAGGGAGTGAGTGCAGCAAAGAGACACAGATGTCTGAGATGATGCCTTTAAATGCCCCACCCTTCCAGACCCATTAGAAGAAACTCCTGATGCTCTTGCTTTATCCAGAGCTACATTCTGGACCTTTGTCTATATTCTTGATTCCTTGCATCCTTCCATTAGCTCAGAGACCTTTTGTTGGTCCCTTGACTTCCTGCTGCATTTTCCCATCTACAATCCCAAACTCTGCCCTAGGACCCAACATTGTTTCTCTGGTTTTATTCCTTGACTCCCTTTCCTTGATAATAATTTGAACTTGCCCCTTAAGTAGTGTCTTTTTCTGGTCCTTCCTAGCTGATTACTCAGCCTGATCGCATGAGGCTATTAGAGCTAAGATTCATGCCAAGTCCTTGGTCCCTAGAGAGGGAATGGAAAAAGACATGGAAAATACAAGATATTTGTAAATGAATTTGACTGAGGCACAGTATTTGGGAAGGTGAGTGGTTAAAAACATTGGCAAAATCTTTTTTTCAAAATTAAAGAGTTCTTTCCACATTGCCTGTCTCATAAAACACTTTGTGTATGCCAAATTACATTAGCTGAGAAGGCCCATGGCCCACCAAAGGATAAGTGACAGGCTGAAGCTTTGGGTGTGAGGTTATGCCAGGTCACTTAACCACGCAGCCAAAGTCAGCCTCTCCAGAGTGGGAAGGACTTTCTCTTGTCTTCTTAAAGGGAGAATAAAAGTATTTATGGTCATAGTCATCTTTCTTACAACAGACTCAACTATAAGCCATCATTAAAGTGATTTAGCAACACTTTTAGTGTGACTTGGTCAAACAACAAATATGTATTAATCGCCTACTCTGAGGGAATCAGCCCAACCTCTCTCTATATAACTTAATTTTGTTGAGATTGTGCAATATATTGTTTGGCTTTATGACTATTACTCATGAAGAAGTTAAAAATAGTAAGCATACGAAAATGACAGGCACTTAACCCTATGGACTCATCTCCTTCATCCAGTCATGAGGACAAAGCAGTGCATTCTATGGAGGAAGACATGTGGGAACTTTTAGGGAAACGTGTAATCTCATTTTTTTTGAAAAATAAATGTGTTTTATTTGCATTGGCTGATGACTCCCAAATTTATATTTCCAGTTCAGATCAGACAGACACTGACCCCCGAACCACATCCTCTATATTTCTATCTAGATGTCACAAAAACAAATCATTTTCATTTTTCCCTGCAAACTGTGAACTGCTCTAGATTAGTACCAATTGTGCAATCCAGAAAAAAGGAGCCATCTTTAACATGCCTTTACCTCTACATTCATTGATTCGCCTTCTTCCTTTTCAATGTCATCTCAGTTTAAGCTACCATAACCTAGCACTAAGTTACTACAATGACTGCCCCCAAGGGAGCTTCCTGCATTAACTCTTGCCCTTTTCAATTCTCCAAAATGCACCCAGATGCATTTTTAAGAAACATAATCTGATTATGTCTCTCTTCTTAAAGTTCCTCAGTGGTTTCCAATTTCTGTATTTTGCTGTATATAATATGCTCCCAAGTATAATGTGCGCCCACATTTTTGGCCCAAACTTACAGTGAAAAAAATCTTTCGTTGTTTTATTTCAAAATTTTATTTGTTTACATTTAGGTACTTGTTTTTTGTATCATAAAGGAATTTTAGCATTTATTTTTTAACATATTATGGTACAAGAAATTTTATGTTACAAATAATTACAAAACACAAGAACAGATACAAGGTACAAGAAATTTTGTGTACTGGTAACAAATTTATGACATATACGCATCATAGAAGGTCAAGAGCTCTGGGCTGTTGCAAGTTTATCTTAAGTTCAACAAAACTGACTATCATATTCCAGGGTATTATTTTGCATATGGATATTGTTATTGATTCCTAGAGTTACACTTTTAACTCATAAGCATAAATAAAAGAATTAAAAACATTTATAAAGATACGGAATTAGTACTATCCATGTATATAATGCACATCCTTATTTTTCCCTCACAAATTTCGGCAAAAGAGTGCTCATTATACATGACAAAATATGGTACCTTTAAGATTTTAAAAATGTTGGATCTTTGTCCTTTTTATATGGTCCTAATTCCCCAGCCTTGTGTCTTTCCTTTTTTCCCCCCCAGTTTTATTGAGGTATGACTGACAAATAATTATACATATTCAGGTTGTACAACATGATTTTTTAAGGTATACAATGTGGTGACTTAATATACATTATAAAATGATTTCCATAGTCAAGCTATATAACACATCCATCACCTCACATAATTACCTGTGTGTGTGCTGAGAACACTTAAGATCTTGTGCCTTTTAATACACAAAGTTTCATTCTACTTTATAACTTATATAGCTACTATAGTTATATAATTATATAACTTTATTTAAATATATTTAATATAAATATATTAAAATTACATTGTATATATTTTATATACATATAAAATCAATATATAAAATCAAGATATACATAATCATGATACAGATGTTTTTTCTGCATCAACTGAGATTATATAATTTTTCTCTTTTGATCTATTTTTGTGGTGAATAACATTGATATATTTTCTGATGATAAAAAATGTTTGCATTCCGGTTAAAAACCTACCTGATCAGTATTATAGTTTTTAATATTTTCTCATATTGTGTTAGCTAATATTTTACTTAGGATTCTAGTACCCACATTCATAATTGAAATAGGCTTACAATTTAGTTTTCTGGTTTTAAAATCAAGAGCCCACTAGTGTCATAATAAACATGATTATTATTTTTGTTAATTTTGTGGAACAACTTGTATAAGATAGAAACTATTTCTCAGGTTTGTAGGGCTGCACTGGAAAGCCATCTAGGCTGGGGAATTTTAGATGGGAGCTATTTGGTGGCCAATTTTATTTCTTTGACATTTATTGATCTGTTCAAATTTTGTATTTCTTTTGTGCCAGTTTTGGATTTAATACTTTTGTGTCTGCAGGAATATCTTTCTTTTTTGTCTTTCACACAATTAGTTTCTATAAATGTCTTCTATATTACATTTTGTTCTCTATTTCATTGATTTCTTATTGTATCTTTATTTTTCCATTCCTTCTTCTCTTGGGTTGTTCTGTTGTTCTTTTTCCACCTTTTTGAGTTGCAGGCTTAGCCCATTTGTTTTCCACCTATTTTGTTTTATGATTAATGTATGTAAAGCTATGCATTCTCAGCACTAATTTGATTGTCTCTCACAAATTCTGATATGTAGCGCTCTCATTATTATTCAGATATAAGTATTCCTTTATTTCTTTTAATCCTTTATTTCATTCTTTCCTAGGGATTCTTTGGTAATTTATTATTATTATTATTATTATTATTATTATTATTATTTTAGCTGAACCATCCTGCCACCTGTTGGCAGCTCAGTGGCAGCTTAGCTTGGGCCAGGAATTGAACCAGCGACGCTGCTCAGGGCTCACTCTCTTAAGTGAGCTCTCTTAACCAACTATGCCATTCGGTGCCCTCTTTGGTAATATTTTTAATTTCCAATATAAATATAGCATATGTTTGGCTTTTTAAAGCTATTCTTTTGACATTAAATTCTAAGTTTATTGCATTATGGTCAGAAAATGTAGCCTACATTATATTGATACTCTGAAATTATTGAAGCTATCTTTGTGGTGTGCTATAAAATATTTTGAAAATATGACAGAAAAATGGGTGTTTTTTGGTGAGCAGTTTCTGAGTTTTAAAGTAAGGTATGTTAAAATAACCAGTTTTAGAATTTGTTTATCTCTGAACTTCTATAACTTATTACTTGATTAATTTTCGGGTTGCAAGGTGGGGCACACATGTGTTGAAATGTTAAGTGTACCTCTCATGGTACTAAATGATGGTTATACTTTCCTGTTCTATTGGCTTTTTTTTCCCCCAATATAAAACATACTCCATTGTCCTTTTTGACATTTTCCCTTGATTTCTATTTTGTCAGACATTAAGACTGATACTCCAACTTTCCTTTGATTCAAACTTGCTGGAAATAATTTGTCCATTCTATTATTTTAAACCTTTTTATATCTTTTGTCTTGAATGTGTTATTTAGCGACCACATTATTAGACTTCTTTTTAAAAATTATCCTGATAGTCTGTATTTAACTATTGAGTTTTGTCCATTTACATTAACTAGAATTATCACTATATTAGGACTATTTTCTACAGTATAAATTTTTTTACACAATAATTTCTCACAGTATTTATAATTATTTAAGTGTTTGTAAAATAAATGAGCAAGTGTTTGTAAAATAAATGAGCAAGTAAATGAATTATTACTGTGCATAGAAATTGCACTGTCACTGATATGTTAACTTGTTTTTATAAATTCTGTTTAGCAAATAATTATTAAGTGCTTGCTATTTGCCAGGAAATGTGGCATGTATTACATTAGAATACAGATAGGAGTTGAACATAATATTTACTTTTTAGATATCGAAAACCTAATATAAATGATACACAATCTAGTACAAATGATATACGAGTATACACAAACATACATATGTACACAGAGAACTGTTCTAAGTCAGGGAAAGCCCAAGGCGTGCAAGTCCATGGCATCCCTTTGGACAAGTCAGTTGACGGCTCTGAGCTTCCACTTCCCCATATGAACCTTATAAAAACAAATGATATTCTCTATATCAAGATGAGATTTTAGGCTATATTTTATATTCATATACATATATATGTATTTTTTATAGATTTGTTCAGTTGTTTACATACCTTTTATTTCTTGTCCTCTTTGAAGAGTAATAAGAATTGCCTCTTTTGTTAGTGGGAATTTTTTCCTTAAAGCATCATTTCATCCCCAGATAGTTTAAATAACAGGCTATATGCCTATGTAAGTTTACTTACAGAATCACTGAAATGTTTCAGTATATTTTTTCTTTCTTGATCTTTTCTTTCAGGACACTCAAAATGCCTTAGGATTCTTTAACGACCCTGTGTTTGAATAACTGATCCTAATCTTACACCATATGGAAGTCATTCCTACAAGTCAGGCTTGCCAAATGTATTCACGGCAGCCTATGTTGTTGCTTTCTTTTTGTGCAACAGAAAGACATGCTGGCAAGAGTAGTGAGTCAGTTGTTGTACTTATCTTTTAGCACACACAGGAAAAATTCCAGCCAGATGAACTGGGCCTGGCCCTAAAAGGGGTGAGATCAGGTACAAACCACAGTATGCAGGCCAAATACGGGGGCTGAGAAATCCAAGTTAAGGTTGCCAGACTAGCTAAGGTCAAAAATTACCTCCAGTTGTTCCGAGAACATTTTTACTTTTCTACGACTGTCCATTTGATTGATTTCTGGCACCAAAATTTAAACACTGCATTTCTTGAGGGTCCAGGGTATAGAGAACAGCCAATATCTGTATCCGAGTTCTTCTCTTTCCCAAGAATTTCTGGCTTCGAAACATGTATCACCACAAATCCTCCAGCTCTGGCTGCTGACCTGGTGAGGAAGTTCACAGGTCTTCATCATCTGAGGATGGGAAGCAAGTCCTGAAATTCATTCCAACAAATACAGTACAGCTTCTGGGAAAAGCGAAAAGGGTACAAGATTTTCTTCCTTTCAGCTGTTCAGTAAATGTTCAGTGAATGTAAAAAAAATTGCACGTAGAGAGAGAGGAGAAGCTTTTGGGTAGACAGGGCCTCTCTTTCATGGATTAACTTTTTGTATATTACTTATAGATAGACGGTCACATTTTTCCTTCCAAACTAAAAAATGTGCTTTGTGTTAAGCTATGGGCATAAATGAGAGGCTTCTTTTGGTAAACCAGGAAAAAAGTGGAGAAAAGAAAGAAATGAAGCACTATTAATAAATATTAATTTTTCACTTTAAATTTAATAAAATAATTTAATGAATGAATTCTGCCCTTTAGCAATCTTTCAGATACTCTTGTTTTCTTTCCCTTGACCTTCTTATATCTATAATCTGCAAACATTTGGTGCTGTACATGGAGTCAGTTTCTTTATACAACCTCATGGTGCATACACAGGCCCACTCTGGTAGATCAATGTGGAAAAATCTAGAAGTAAAGACAAGTATGTAAGGGGAGAGAAGTTACATCCCACACATAATAAGGGAACATTTCTTGTTTTACTCTTCCAGAGGAATTCTTGCTATTCAGGTGGTTTTCATTGAAGAGAGAATATAGTTCTTTATGTATTTACACTATAATTTATCTTAATTTTACATGTTATTATCTGGCAACTTTTGTGAAATATTGCTATTTCACAAAGAGGATAGTAAACTAATTTAGTAGTTGAACTGCTACATAAGCCAATATTCGGACAAGAACTGGTTACAGGGCTGCTTAAGCGAACACTACTGGGCAGGCCTGAAGTCAATTTCCACAGGCCACCCCAACACACATCACTGCATTCTTTTCCATCTATCAGGAAGACATCAGATGTGGAAACAATGACTTATTTCACAGCCTGTTCGCTTCGCAGCTTGATCAGCAAAGGCATGTTATGAACTAAACTCTCCCAAATACTAACCTGAAAAAGTTGCCTTCGTCCACTCTAAACTTTTTTTCTTCTGAATTTCATCTTATTTCCAGGCTTTGCAATAACTAGATGAAACAAAGAAGAGGAATTGGAGAATTTCAGATCTCTTCCACAAGATTTTTCTCTCACTGACCGAACCCTGGCTACAAAGATTGTCTTTTTTGTCCCAAGCATTTCAAAGCGTATCAGCTTCCAACTCGAAGTTATCTGATGACACTGGGAAATAACAGCAGACAGAGCCCACTCAGCAGGCAGTGATAGGAAATGAGCTTTTGCAAGGCATCTTGCTAGTAGTTTTCCGGCCCAGGGATGGATATCCAAAAACCAGTCAACAGCCCTAACCCTATCAGCATCACTTGCAAAATAGCATTAAGAACAACGTGTTCCTTCAAATACTACATTATGTAATAATTTATCTTGTTTACCTATTCCGAGGATGAAATAATCTAGAAGCATAAAATTATAGACGTCTCAAACTCATGTTTAAAAAGAGAATTGAATCATTTGGCAATATTAGAACTAAACTGACTTCGTTCAGCTTTCAATTTGGTTCCTATTAGAGAAGGTCTTGCTGACTCGATCACTCCCACTTTTTGCATTTCTCCTCTGCTTTGGTTAGCCTCAGCAATCGATTACTCCTCTACTACTAGGGAAAAATGGAAGTCACAGTAAACCAATGGAGTTAAACCAATCTTTTTTGAAATAACATGTGTGTGTGTGTGTGTGTGTGTGTGTGTGTGTGTGTGTGCGCGCGCGCGCGCGCGCGCATGCACTCACGCGTGCATGCATTCGCTCCATGGTATTACATGCCAGCCGCTGATCTAGGTGCTCTACCTTTATTGTCATAGTTAATCCATCCAGCATTCTGTGACTTTTGCTTTGGGTTGAAGAAGCTGTCATAAACTGAACCTAGACTTCCAGTTTTGCTTTGGGTCTAAATAACTGTAGAATTGACTTTGTAGACACTGCAGAGCCTGTATTCTTATACCAAACCAGAGCTGGTGTCAGATGACAGTCAGCAAACATGAGTGTTCATAGACTGGGATGAGACCTGGTTATTCCTGGAGCAAACTGAAAGGTTTTGGAAGGCAACCTATTTGGCTTGGAGCTTGTTTGGACAGATAATTTAGTATACAGAGGGCTGGACAGAGAAAAGGGGACGTGGATTCCAATACCAAGTTCACCCTTTCTCTAATTTTTAAGTCATTTAACTATATAGGCTTAAGTGACAATATGCAAATCTTTAATTCCTATTTTCCTGTTTTAAAGGATATTGAAAAAATTAGCATTTTAAATATGTATACCTTCGTATAATTTTATCTTTAGCTCTGAAACTGAGGACTCAAGAATCCCTGTAAACACCATCACAGTATTATTTAAGCAGGTAACCAAAACTTAGGAAATACTGCATGATTGTGTCAGTAATTTAAATTATATTCTTTGAAATCAAACAGCCCTAGCCCTGTGTTTGAATCCTGCTTTTGCCATTTAGTTGCTGTGTGAACTTGGATAAAATATATAACCTCTTTGGGCCTTAATTTTCTCATATGTAACATGTGGGTAATTATACTCAGTTTGTAGGATAATTATGAGAGGTAAATAACACAATGAATAAAAAGTGATTCTCATGGCACTTGATAGCAAGTGATAGATCGCAAGCACTTGATGCATGATAATATCACTTGGATAGTTGTATAATTTTTATTTGTTATATGCTGTCTTATTTAAAAACTGAGGCTTTTAATAGAAAGAAAAAGGGCAGAGAAATGATCTGTATGGGAAGAAAAGAAAAATTACAGCTGTTCTGAACTGCGAGCTCAATTTATTTAATATGCAGGCTTCTCCACCATTCCCCAGAAGTTTCTGCCTGTGATTCCCTGCTGCTGCTCCCACACATGAGTTTGACAATTATCTATTTTCACTTAGTTCAGCTAAGATAAATTAAGAAAAGGACTGGGGGATTGGGTGCATGGGAAGCTATGTCAATCAAGAAATCTGAGACGCAGAATCCATTCAAGGGATTTCTCTTAAAAGAACAGAACTAAGAGGCCTGCACCGTCCGAGGAATTTGGCTGGATTCATGTCTCTCGTGTCATTGTCTTTTGATGTCCTAGAAAGTGATTTGTTTCCATTTTCAGGGCTGCTCCTTCCTAATTGTTTTCTCCTCTGCCTTTTTCTTTCTCTGGCAAGATAAAGGGTTTTAGTGCTGCCAGTAAAATACAATAATAATATGAACCCCATAAAACCAGCATTCTGTAAATAAAACTGAATCTCATGGAACAGGGGGAAAAAAAAATGGACTGAAGCCAGGAAAATTCCGCAAAGAGACAACATGCCTAGCAGTCTGGAAAAGAGTTAGCGAAAGAATAAGGGAAGAGAGAGGAGGAGATAGAATTGGTGGGGAAATACATTAGCTTTAATATTGCTGTGCCATTATTTTCATCATGGAAATATATAGAAAAGGGATAACTCTTCTGGTGTATCCTCCAGCAAATATACTTTCCTGAGAAGCTTCTCCCCGTGGGAAGTCCTGGCAGTTCTGCCAATGTTTCCTCTCCTTCATTCTCTCCCTGAGTTCAGGATTATCTGAGCTTGTCCTCAGTGCTTTTTGCAGTGTTCTGCAAACAAAGATGTTCCTGAGTGCCCTTAAAAAGGTAAGCCCAAAGAGAAAACATACCACTTGGTCTCTAGGGCCAACTGGTGGCTTAAACAATTTTTTTAAAAGGAACACTAAATTTGTGATCTAAGAGCACGCTGGAGTCATGAGAATAGGCTTCATATCTGTATTTTTATCCACTATATTTTTAGCTCAGATGCTCAAATACATTCGCTAGATGATAGATAGATAGATAGATAGATAGATAGATAGATAGATAGATAGATAGATAGATAGATAGGAAGATTAAGAAGGACTAAAATCATGAGGCTATTTCTGGCCCTGGAAGGTGTGGTCATGTTTCTCTTTTCCTCCTGAGGGCAGGTGGAATACGTGACCCTGTATCACTCTGTGGCTTTGTTGCCTGGGTTATATACCATATTGCCAATCTCACATGAGATTCCTAGACAATCAAAACAAAAAAACCAAAAAACCGAATAGCAATCATGTCAATGTCTCTTTCATATCTTTGTTGTTCACTCCTGGGAGTGTCTTCAAATATTCTCCCCACTGAAGAAGGCACCTCTTTAGTTAGGAGAATATATCTATATAAATGTCTTTTATAATGACTTGAAATTGAAATGTAAGTTGGAGCTTCATGTGGTCTAGTCTTTACAAGATACGCCAGTTAAGAAAATACAACAAACTAGCAGCCAACATTAATTAAAAAACAATGTCAGTATTTCCTAGCAATTCTCAATGTTTTACAATGGCAAACAATCCTGTGCATAACCAAAGCAACCCTTATTTGCCTTTTCCCATTTCTCACTTTTAATATGTCTCACCTTCTACAGCTGCCTCAAAGCTTTTCTCTTCACCTCTCAGTCTCTGCCTAAAACTCTCCCGTCCAGCAAACCAAATCTACAAGGCTCTTCTCATTTCTTACCCTCCACTTTTTTCCTACTTCCATTTTTTCCTCTTCTCGCAGATGAGCCAACCTTAGCCCTTTCCATCCCCCATCATGAAGCCCCCACTCTGACTTGTCATAAGTCCTCTTCATACAAAGGTATAGCTGGAGCTGGTGCTCACAAAATTGTCTTTGAGATGGGGAGTGACATGAGAGAAGAGGAAAAAAAGACTCTGAATTTTCACACGTTAATAGTTTTTATGAATCATGTATAAACAGAATTTAGCATAGGAGAAGCCAGGAATTGATGGAAAACAGTAAAAAAGAAAGATGAATGGCTGGTGAGAGAAAGCTCCCAACACAAAGTGTTAGCCATACAAAAAGCAAGATGATACAGAGAAATGCTTAAGAATTTAGGAAATCCAGTGGAAGCAGTGATAAAAATGATTTCTAAAACAAAGTGAAGCTTAAATTGGAAAGAGAAGTATAAGATTTTCAAGTTTGAATTCAGAGAGTGTAAAAATAAATAACTGGGATGTCAGAAGGCTGACAGAGCCCAGTTGCCATTTGAACTTGAGAGGAGACATCCGGAATCTGGCTGAGGGAGACTGAGTTAATGTACATTACAAAGCACATGATTGCAGCTGGAAAAGAGGGACTTCTCTTTAATTCTGCAGATGGAGTAGGGGGAGGTGAGTAGCCTAATCACGTTAGGGGTGAAACATTGGAACTAAGCTTGTTTTATATGGTGCTAATTGGGGATGACTGAACTGAGTACACGTAAGTACTATGTGAACAAGCCATGGCTCCTTGTTTCCCCCCAACCACACAGCGTAAAAAACTGGCTTTTGCACTTTAAACTATTTATTGACAATATAATGATTTTAATGATTTATTCTGGCAACAGGGCACAGAAGCCAACACTGAGAGCAAGTCTGTGATTTATAGACAAGAACCACAAATCTTGTGAGTGGAAATCACGATGATTGAATTTAACAGAGATGGATGTACATTGTCTTCTTTTTGAGGTCTTAAGATTTTATCACAAAGAATATATCTCTTAATATGAAAACATCTGGGGGGAGAATCTGAATAGTATTGGTCCTTCAGAGCTCACTAATCCTTCAGATACAAATGAGCTGTTTCCTTTAACCAGGAATCCTTTAGTATTTATAAAAACACTTCACAGGGTGCAAGTTAGGAGGGAAAGTCCAGCCCAATAAGAGAACAAGGCATGAGTCCCCACCAGGTTGTTCGTCACTGCTCCTCGAAATAAATCCTTATTGAAAACGATACCCGCCTACCCCCAGCCCAGCACTTTGGCTGCTCCCGCCCCAGAGTCAGAGGCCCTGCAGTTTTAGCTTTTCTACAATCTGCGGCTCTGTGACTCTAGTCTATTTGTCTGCTATGAAGACACCCAGGACCCAGGCAACAGAGACACAACTGATAGGAAAGGCTTACTAACTGGTCAAGAAAAAAATAAAGAGCTCAGTCTATAGCATAACCAGAGGCACCAAACTGCAATCCTCCTATAAGGAAAGAAACAGCACCTCTGATACTGAGGGTATAGTGGAAATATGTGCTTGTGAAAGTCTGTGTTTGAAGACACCTGACAGCTAAAGAACAAAGTGAATAGTAAGTAGCTATTACTGACCTCCTTAGGGACATGTCTTGGGTGTTTCTAGATCCCCTACAGCGCCTAGCACAGTACCTTGCGTCTTATGTGCCACTCACTAAAAGCACGTTGAATTCATTAGTTATCAGGATAATGTCTTCAGAAAATGAGATGGGTACTCCCTTATCCACGCTGCACTTTACATAGGTGATATCCAGCCCAAGAGAGCATTGGGCCACAGGTTTGGACTCAAGTCACAAAACTGGATGGCCAAGTTACAGCAGAGCCAAAGGAGGAAACAGATCTCACTCACAGGGTCATGAACATCTCTGCCCCAGTGAGCACTTGAAAAACGCATCAGGTGCGTATCACCAGGCGCATGCCCCATGGGTCCAGGCTGGATGGTTCTGCCCTAGTGGGAACATAGGTCTAAATTAGAACAGCAGGAGAAGTGAAGTCCTTTCTTCCCCAGAACCTCTCACCCACCCATCAGGGAGTGAGCAGAACACTATGGCTCTGTTTGAAGACCAAACCTGAAAGGCTCGCTGTCAGGCCCCGAAGGGTAGATCTGAGAAGGAATTAGAAAGGCAAACACGTGTCTGCGGCAACTCCCTGCTCCGTGGACCTTTGCCCAGGTCTGGCCCCAAACCTAGGACGGCCACAACTTCTGCACCAGGGCAGCATCCTGCCATGGCACAGTCACTCCAGGAGTGAGGGAAAACTGCCCACCCCGAGCTGATAATATCTGGAAGGAATGAATATTTGGGAAAAGTCCCAGGGCTAGTTTAGTGCCAACCAGTCCCCACCTTCTCAGGCCCCCTCCCACTGGTTCCTCCCCTTTCAGCTTCTCTAGTTCTTATAAAAACTCCACAGCCTTTCACGAGCAGCCTGTAAGAACCTCTGTCCCCTCGGCTGCTGCACAAGGCGGTGAGACGCACCCACAGGACCACGGAGAGACCATGAAGAGCCTGCTGCTTCTCTCCATTCTGGCCGCCTTGGCCGTGGCAGCGTTGTGTTACGGTGAGAAACCCTCCTCCTGCCATCCGTCTGGTTTTTCTTTTCTGCGCCTGACTTCAGTTTACTTTGATTTTCGCTCTCCCTCCTCCTCCTCCTCTTGCCCCTTTCTCAATTATAATCTTAAAATGTCATTAGCATTTCCCAAGCCCCAGGTCTGTCCCGTCAAGTCTTTTCTATGTCCTAATTATCCAGGCTCTTGTATGTAACTAATCAGGCAAGTCCGTTCTGTGGTAAGTCACTATAAGCCTGGAAACTTTGTTATTTCAGAAAGAAGATATGAAATTTCCAGCCCCTGAGTTCTCATTTTTAAGGATGTTTATTTAGACTTTGGTAACAGCTGGATAAGGATATTGGTCGAATTACTTACCTTTAAAAAATCAGTTTCCACGTGAAGTGTTAAGTATAGCCCTCTCGAGGTACAGGACAATCTCAAAAACTTACTACATGTGTTTGGTGAATTAGTTTAAAAATGAAGTTTGACATTTAAAGAATCTTGGAGAAAATAGATTTCATAATTTCTACTGTCAAAAGATACATTTTGCCTGATTTCTACGTGTTGTTAAATATATCTGTCTGTTCAAAGTTTATGAAAGAAAATCTGAAGCAAAATTAGATCATTCAGTCTTATGCTGGGTCAATAATCTGGGTATTTCAGCTGTTCTTAAGCCTAAATTATATTAACAACCGTATGTATTTTGTTTCAAACTCTTGAAATTATTCACAAGTTTTCTGTATCAGAAGATTTGGTTTCTTCATCTCCTTTTGAACTTTTCAAGCAAATTCACTTGCTTACAGATATAAGCCTATTATTGCCAAATTTACCTGCTGGGAAGGTAGAAAGAAGGAAAGTGATAGAAAGAAGAAACCTTCTGCTTTGGAATCATCTCAGTTCTTTCTCTGAAACTGGCATTGTGCCCAGTGTGAGCTGGGAGCTGGAGCCAGTGGTTTCTGTGGCTGCCAATTTAACACAGGTTCTTAAGAGGCTTTTGGAACCTCCTAGAAGCCTGCCCTGGTCAAGCCCAGCTAAGCATCTGCCCAGCCTGCCTGGAGAAACCTGGCTGTGTTCTAGACCCTGCTGTCCCTTCCTCAGCCCTGCTCTCAGCAAGGCCCCACATTCACCAGAGAAGACTGCTCTCTGGAGACTTGTGTGCAGCACTTGAATGGTATTATTTCAGCAGCCTGAAAACCTCAGAGCCCTTGGGACATTTTAGCCAAGCGTGTTCACCAGCTTCTTTAACATCACAAAAACTAAAGTATAGACATATCCACAGCAAGGAAAGAGCTAGAGAAACAACTCATCAATTCTAAATGCCTGTAATTTGTAATCACCGTATTGTTAAATATATGCCTCACATCTTTTTGACTCTTCCTATATTTAGACTATTGCATTGTGTGACAAATAACAATAAAATGAATTTTTTTTTAAATTCCAGAATCTCATGAAAGCATGGAATCCTATGAAATCAGTAAGTGAATATTTGACTTCCTTATTTAAATCTCCTGTATTAAAGACTCTCACCCTGCTCTTAAACAGACAAAATGGTAACACATATAACAGAGAGGAAAAGGAGAGACTCTTTTGGAAAACTAAAGTAAATTTTAAAATCAAATGACTACAAAAAAAAATCACCAAATGAGCAATTTTTTTAAAGCTTGAAGTAGTGTAATATGGCATTTAAACTGCATTCAGCATACTTAGGAACCATAAAATCTCATTTGGAAATTTTAAATTGGCACCACATCAACCACTCAGATGGAAAACAAGGAGTAATGACAAATGGCAAAGTACGGAATTGGAGGCCAAGTCAGCTGGGAGACCACAGATGTCAACATTCTGTTGAATGCTATTGAATTTTTGAACTTATAAAGACTGAGTATAGGAGGAAATAACATATAGCTCTCATTTACAATTTGTTCATTATTTTTATCATGTTTAAACTGTTCATTTACTATTAATCTCAAGGTATGCTTTACAAGTCCTCAGGACAGAGAATTTCTCCTCAAAGGAATGAAAAAACATACTGAATAGGAACACCAAAATCGAGAAAGGCAAAATGATTGCCCAAAGGAAAAAAAATAAAAATTGCAGTGGCCAATGTGACAAGTCTCTAATACACATATATGGGTTGTTAATTTCTTTTTATCCGGCAGTTTATGAAATTCGCTTAGCTTCCTCTTTGATTTTTACATATCTCTAGTTACAGAAAGTGCATGAATTAATGAGCTTTCAAATGTATCTGTGTTAGGGAATATTCATGGACATATTTTCAGCTACTGTTTCCCTAAAACTACAATTATGTATTTCTGTTTTAAGGTCCCTTCATCAACAGGAGAAATGCTAACACCTTTATGTCCCAGCAACAGAGATGGATAGCAAAAGCCCAAGAGAGGTGGGTGACAAAACTTAAGGGGGAACTCATTATTCCCAGTGCAGCATCCCAGATCTGAAAGGAGTAAGAGGCGGGTTTTTTAAACCATATATATCATTTCTAATTGCATCCCCAAATCAAAGAATTTAAAAACAATATACAGAAAACAACTGAATTTCTAGAAGACTAAATTGCAAAAGACTCAGAGATGAGAGGGAGGGAGGATGAAAGGAAGACAGAAAGGAAATTTCTGTCTTCATTTTTAAAAATTCCCGTTCCACCTTTCCTCCCTGTTCTTCAAGTATCTCTTTATATTGGGGGGCAAATAGGATCTTCTCCGCTATTTTCTTATTAATTTTCTTTTCCTTTTTCTTATTTCTCCGCTCTCTTTATGCTTCTCAATCTGGGTCTCTTTTTTTCCCACTTTCTAGAGTCCGAGAACGCAGCAAGCCTGCCTATGAGTTCAGCCGGGAAGCCTGTGATGACTACAAACTGTGCGAGCGCTATGCCATGCTTTACGGATACAATGCTGCCTACAATCGCTACTTCCGGCAGCGCCGAGGCGGCAAATGAGATTGGGAAAAATCTCTTTCCAGAGCCTGGCGCCTGGTTTTGTATTCCCTTGCCGTAGCATCACTGAACCATGTAGACATACACATTGCTTGTTTCTTACATGCTCCCGTTTGGCTGCACACCTCCTTCCTGCTCCCAGATTGATAAGCAATGGAAATGCTGTGTAGTGAAGGTCCAAGGGAAGTTATAATGTGCGATTATTAACATAATAAAATTCTGATTGGATACTTTCAGTTTGTGAGTCTGATTTCTCCTGGAAAAATGCTGAGCTATTTAAATCATGGCCCACCTAACCCAGCATAGGAGAGTCTGTTAATGATGTTCTAGTACTGATTAGAAGCATCACTGCACAGAAAGAATGAACTCTGGAAGACATTCACCCAGCCATAATTTGTCTAGATTCTCTACCTTGGAGTCAGTGAATGATGGCTTCCTATTAGGTGTTTTCAATGATTTTCAACCATAGACGATTGATCATATGATGTTCCTGCTCCTCAATTTTAAACGGCCCCTCAAGTCCTTCTGTGTGGAGTTCTGACTCTGGCGGCTCATCATCACCCTCACCTGAATGTTTTTTCCTAAGATGCCACAGTTTGGGCTCTTACTTGAGCCAAGAAAATGATTAATTTAGTCTCAGAATCACCGAGGATTTTTAAATAATGCAATGGTGGAATTCTGGAGCCAGAAGATGCTGGAGCTCCATTAGGCCTGGTTTGCTGATAAGGCCATGCAGCTCCAGGGTCTTCCTGCTCGGTAGTTAGGGACAAAGGCCAGGACTCCTCGACCCCAATTCCGACCTCGTTCTTCTCTGCCATGAGAACTTGCTCATGCCCACCCTCCTTTCTAGCCATCATTTCTGGTAGGCCCACTGCCTTCGTCTCCCCACTGGAGTCTCTTTCTATTCCTTCAAAATTCTGCACAAAACTCAAAGCACTTTATGAAATCAGTGATAATTAAATCCACCCAGCTCCCATGACACTACTCAAGCCAGTATCAGCTCTTCAAGAATTTTTCTAGTCAAGTACAATGTTATTATTCAATTCATGTTTTGATTAAAGTTTCTTTGTACGTATATTTGTTTGCATTATGGGAATTCCTTTGAGGGCAAACACTGTAACTGCAATTTTTTTTTTCTATATATAGCCCTGGTACTATTTTCTGTTCACAAAGATTATTCAGTGAAAGCTGAATAAACAATAGATTAGCCATGCCTGGGAGTGATCACCCAGTTCTGAAACTGCTAGATTCATCATAATAAGGTATGTTGTATAATTTAAACCATTGTCATATCAATGCAATGATGAGTGTTTTAGAATTTTCCAAGCTCTTTTGCATATTTGTTAGATCTTACAACAACTCAGAAGATGGATAACATGTAATAGATGGTAAAATTGAAACTCAAGGAGGTAACTTCCTAAGACACTGCAGTAGATACAGGGGTGTGCCACTCAGACTGAGGAACTCTGCCCCTGGCCAGCTGATGTTTTCCAGCTAAGGACTTGAGTGTAGCTCTCTACAGATCTCTAGAGCCCTCTCTGCATGCATCTTTGTCCTCTCTGGTACCCTTTTCTGAAATTGCTAGCCATCTCTCTAGACTCCCAGCTCTGTCTCCTCAATTTAGAAAGGCGAGTTTGCCTGATTTCTATTTTCTGTCCCATGACCTCAAAACTCTCCAGGAAATAAGTTGAGCAGCTATAGAGCTCACCTCTTTTGTTTCCCATCTCTTATGCATTAATGTCAAATAATCTAAAAGAAGGAAAAATATGGAGGAAAGGGGGAACAAAAAAAAATAAGAGAAAAATTGAAAACAAATGGCAAAATAGACTTAAATCTATCTCAATAATCTCATTAAATGCAAACAGTCTAAACAATTCAATTATTTTTTTACTTCTATATGTCATAGATCCGTACATTTTTATTATTTTTGTTTTAAACAGTCAATTATTTTTAAAAAGTCTAGATAATACAAAAATATCTTGGGCCTGCCGAGTGGCACGATGGTTGAGGACTGGCTTGGGACGTCAGAGGGCCCCGGTTCAGATCCCACATATGAGGGCCACTGACACTGCCCTCTACAGCTAAGATACTGAACAACAGCTCAACCTGGAGCTGGGCTGCCGTGAGTCGCTGGCAACAGCGTAGGCTGCAGCCCCTGTGGCAGTGGGTTGCCATGGGCTACCGTATGTAGCCAGCAGCCGCAGTGAGTGACCGTCCAGAAGCCAGCGACTGATCTGCCTCGCCCGGGAGGAGCGTAATGATGGTGCCAACCTGGGCCAATGAAGCAATGTCCTCCACAGCTAGACTGAGGAACAAAAGGACAGCAACTTGTCTGTTCCCCTTCCCCAATTCCCCAGCACTGTTCCCATCCCCCCAATTCCCCAATAAAAATCTTAAAAAAAAAAAATCTCATACATTTACCCATAGTTTCCACTTCTAGTGCTCCTCATTCTTTTGTGTGCATCCAAATTTCCATCTGATGTCATTTTCCTTCTGCCTGAATGACTTCCTTTAACATTTCTCATACTGAAGGTCTGCTGGATTATTTGAGTTTTGAAAGTTTGCCTTCATATTTGAAAGATACTGTCATTGTATACAGAATTCTATGTTGCCAGTATCTTTTACCTCTGGCTGCTTCCAAGGGTTTTCTCTTTATCATTGTCTTTGGCCAAATTGATTGTAATGTACCTTGGTGTGATTTTCCTTATTTTTCTTGTTATTGGGATTTATGGAGCTTCTTGGGTTGCATTAAAATTTTTATGCATAAAAAAATTTTTATGCATAAAAAATACCAAAATTTTTCAATCATTATTTCTTCAAATATTTTCCCTCATTCCTATCTTCTTTGGACACTGCAATAATATATACATTAGGTCACTTGAAGTTGCCCCACAGCTCCTTGATATCATTTTTATTTTTATAAATTACTTTTCTGTTTAATTTTTGATACTTTCTTTTAATGTGTCTAAAGTTTACTAACTTTATCTTTAGCAATATCTAATTTACTATTAATCCTATTTAGTGTATTTTTCATCTCAGACATTACAGTTGTCATCTCTAGAAATTTGATTTGGGTGTTCCCATATTTTCCACATCTCAACATGTGTTATCATAACTATTTTAATGTCCCTATCTGCTAATTCCAATATCTGTATCACTCCCAGGTTGGTTTTAATTGATTATTCTACTCATTATGGATCATAATTTCCTACTTCTTTGAATACCAGCCAATCTTTTATTTGATGCCAAATATTCTAAATTTTACCTTTTGTGTGTTGGATAGTCTATAAATATTCTTGAGCTTTGTTCTGGGATGCAGTTAACCCACTTGGGGAAAACATGATCATTTTAAGTCATGCTTTTAAACGGGACCAATGCAGTATTTGTCTAGAGCCAATTATTTCCCTGACATTGAAGTAAGACCTTCTGAGTACTATACCCAATGTCACATAACTGGGTGGTAGAAACAGGCAATAATCCCAGTCCTGAGTTGCTGCCAGTCACTGTTCCCTCGGTTCTCCTTGGATGGTCATTTCTTCACATAAATGTGCCAATCAGTTCTCTGCTATACACATGAGGGATGACTTCTATAGATATCCAGAGATCCCTTTCTCTGTAGCTCTGTCCTCTTCAGTATTTTGTCATGTGAACTACAGCCACCATATTCTCCCAGGACTTCCAACTCCATCTCCACTTGCATCTTGGTTCCCCTTCCCTGGGCCATGGCCTAGAAAAGCTCTTAAGACAACAAGCTGGACCAGTCACAAGGACTTGCTTTGTTCGTTTCCCATCTCTTAGGGGATGGGAAAGTATCCTGATGTCCAGTACCTTGAAAACTACTGTTTTATTTGTATTCTTTAGTTATTTCTGAAGAGAAGGTGAATCCCATCCCTAAGGCTCCATATTGGTTAACAGCCCATTAAATCAGGTCAGCATATTCTGAATGGTCATCCCAGCCTCAGTGTTCCCCCAGTTTGACACATTTATTTCAGCTGCATAACAGTTCAAATACTTACTCTACCTAGCCCTACACTTTCCTCGTCCCTCTAAAATGCTATACCCAGGGTACTCCGCAATAAACCACCTGCATACAAATCTTTGAGTTTTAGAGTCCGTTTCCCAGGGAACCAGATCTATGACAGTTATTCAGGTGGCAAATAGTGGGACCAGGATCTTCTAGCTCCAGGCCTCTAGATTCATTATGCAGCACTAGATTCATAGTTTTTGAGCTGGCAAGCAGTTCGGCAATAACCTAATTCAATCTCCTCATTTTAGATTGAGGAATTTGTGAGATTAGAAACTAAATGACTGCTCTAAGGGCTGGTAATTCTATTCTCTTGAGAAATTCACTTGTAGTGACCTCATTAAATCTAATTTCTTAAGCCAATTTTTAAGAAGAGTTATGTACAAATGGTCCACATATTTGTACCGATTCCCCATTTTAAATAGTTACACTTTCCAATCTGATAAAGTTTTGTTTAATGTAGTTTGCACCTTAGTCAAAATTTTAGAGTAGTCACATCCTCAATTCTATTAATTCCTTTTACATAATAATCTGGTTTTTCAGATCTAAGGCACAGGAAGTGATAAGTCACAGGCCTTATTTTCTTCCCCTTTCTCACCTTGGTAAGGCTTGTCACAAAGTAGTACATTTTAGGAACAAATGAGTGTTTAAACACAGGCAGAATGTTCTGCTACCATCCCCTAAAATTAATTTAACATTTTAACATAGCATTTGATATTAAGGACTTTGAAAGTAGGCCTCCCAGCTCTACCACTTAGAACTGCATCATTCTTGGGCAAGTTAGTATCAGTAGGCCCCAGTTTCCTCATCTGTAAAATAAGATAATTCTAGTACTGACCTTAAGAGTTGTTGTAAACACTAAATAAATTAATACATGAAAGGTGCACAAAATACTGCCTGGTATAGAGCAAGTGCTTAATAACCGTTAGCTATTTATGCTGTAAATTTCTATTGTACTATTACTATTATTGTAATATACTATACTCTGGATGTTGATAAATGGCAAGACAATACCTCTATGGCAGCGGTTCTCAACCTGCGGGTCACGTCCCCTTTGGGGGTCGAACGACCCTTTCACAGGGGTCACCGGGTATTCGTATGTGGGCGTATCTGCATGTGGGCCTGGAGACGGATAGAGGAGCGGTGTCTCGGTTCCTAAGACCTTCGAAAATATGTGTTTTCCGATGGTCTTAGGCGACCCCTGTGAAAGGT